CCCCTCGAGGACATCGCGTGCGTGCTCCTCGCCCAAACAAACAATGCATAAATCGTGTGAATCATCGGGTGTCAGAAACCGCTGACACTGATGTACACACTTTCTAAATGCTTCGCTAGTGCTCGCCATAGTAGGAGAGAAAAGCTCTTACTTTGCTTTTGGAATGTACGCTTCAAACAGACTTCACAGTGAAGATGAAGAAGGTGAATGATGTGCGCTACCGGCGCCTATTTTGTACTAGTCGCGGCGGTAGTGACGTCATGGCTATCGCCGGCCAAACAAGCAAAACAAACAATTATCTTTTCTTGTAAAACGTGACACCAAGATCGCAAATTCGAATTCACAAAATTCAAATAAATAATAGCCTACTGATGAAAAAGAATGGGTTTTATGTTGAACACTTGTTACAATATAACTATAAAGTATGATAAAGTTCATCAGCATGCATTGATTAATACCGATTAATAAAAATTCAGACCAAATTATGTGCTTGTGTGACCAGCTGAGAAAGTTAGTCGCAAAAGAGTGACCAGTGGGAAGAATGAGTCTAGAGCCCTGGTTCACCAAATTGAGTTCCTTGAATTATCCTTAAACTGTTATGTCTTGAGTGAGACATCACTCAAAAATCAATGAAAACAAAAACTATTTTATTATTATTATATATATATATATTTTTTTTTTTAGAGGCAGGGCCAGTAGAAAAAAATCTGTAGTGTTGAGCTCTGTACAGTGTTTGAACGAGCAGCCTTTAGATTTCCAGTCTTGACCTTTAGCCACTACACCAATCCAAATGTAGCCATCACGAATTTAAACAAGAAATTGCACCTTCATTGCAAGGTTTTGCCAAAAGATGTTATTGAAATCTACCAGCCAAGGTCCCTTTGTAGTGCCGGATTGAACACAGACTAGATTTTCTGCTTCCAAATTGTAACGGCACAGAACGCTGAATGAATCACACCAGGAACCTGAGCTCTTCCAGCCCTCACACTCTCACACACAGACAAATGCATATGTTTGAGATGTTTATTGCTGAATGTCCTGCATTGATTGAGTCTCCTTCCGTTTGTGTTCATTCCTGTCAGTAGTGGGAGCAGCAGGGGAGAGACTCAAATCAATCCCAGTCAGGCTATAAAGCAGCCAAAGGTGTAGGTGGGTCGGGCCGGGGGGCCATGGATGTCCAAGTGTGGATGATTTTACTGAGTGTGCGATTGCTTCTCGTCAGGTGGGCCAGCCCCCCCATCACACTCTAAAATGAGAAAAACATGACACCGACACCAATCACAAAGGTGTAGGCAAGGGAGACAGACAATAAAGCAATAGCATTTTCTGTTACTTTTGGTGGGGCGAGGGGAATGCCCCTAATACTTTGCTGTGAGGATATGTGCATAACTATCTGTTTCTTGCTGGAAATGCACATTACTGCAGTCTGTTGACTTGACGCACACACTTATCCAGTTTCAGTTCAGCTCAGACTCACAGAACTTGTACATTAACACATTCGGGACAAAATCACTCAGTTGTGCAGTTTTGTACTGCACTATTACAGTTAGTGGAACATTTCTCTTAAAGGGCTCCTATTATGCTCTTTTACAAAGTCTTGATTTTGTTTTGGGGGTGTACCAGAACAGGCTCTCATACTAGGTTGTTCGAAAAATACATTATTTTTCACATATTTTACATTATTACAACACCTCTCTCCCCAGTCTGGCATGAACGGCTCGAATAGTTCCTGTATCAAATGAAGGCCCGCCTTCTGAAATACGAAATGTGCTGTGATTGGTTAGCTGGGCCAGTGTGTGCTGTGATTGGCAACACTCGGCGCCTGGTCGGGAAATGTCATGCCCCTTACCATAGCTTCAGTGTAATTATTGCGTCAAAATCAAATCAATTTGAGCGCGAATTAAACCCGGATGATTTTAAACACTCTAAGATCGTCTGCCTTGGGAAAGCTAGCGCGTCTCCGACATAGTGATAACACTTGTTGCCTTCTCTAGTGCAGCTCAACCTGGTCTCGTCCCATTCATCAATATTTGTGATATCACAAATCCTGGAAAATATGTGTTGTAGTCCAAACGAGTTGTTCGTTGTAGTTTTTGAAAAGTTAAATAAAAAGTTAAGAATAATAGAATTTTGAAATAATAGAATTTTGAAAAGTTTAATAAAATATCTCCTTTTGAATTGGACTTTGAGCTTTGTAACTTTGCAAATATTTTTTATGCTCAAAAAGCAACATTACAGACTATCTAAAGTTGAAAAAGTGAAAAGCATAATAGGACCCCTTTAAAAGAATTGTTCACTCGAAAATTAACATTTGCAAAAAAGTGTACCATATCACCCTCAAGCCATCCAAGATGTAGGTGAGTTTCTTTATTAGAACAGATTTGGAGAAATTTTGCATAACATCACTTGCTCACCAATGGATAAGTGAACGGGTGCTGTCAGAATGAGGACACTGTTGTAATCTAGTTTAAACAGCTGGTAAAAGCATTACAATAATCCACAAGTAATTATCATGACTCCAGTCAATCAGCTAATGTCTTGTAAAGTGAAAAGCTGCATGTTTGTGAAAAACCCACCATTACACCGTTTTAACATTTAAATTGTTGTTTCTGGCCAAAATACCAGTCCATAATCCATAATAAGGCTTCCTCCAGTGGAATAAAAAGTCCATTCCCCGTTGTCCTGTCATATTAAAATCCACCTGATATAGAACTGCTTGGTCTTTATGTATTTCCCTTGACTGAAAAGAGGCAACTTTTTTTCTTGGAGAAAGCGATATTATGGACTCAAACTTAAGCCTGAAGCAATGGTTTGAAGTTAAAACTTTCATGATTATGACTTTGTTTATTACAAATACACAGCTTTTCACTTCACAGGGTGATGAACTGGAGTTATGATATTTACTTTGTGAAGCTTTTATCAGCTTTTGGACTCTCATTCTGACAGCACCGTTTCACTGCAGAGGGTCTATTGGTGTACTGCTAAATTTCCCCATATCTGTTCCGATGAACTCCTCTACATTCTGAATGGCATCAGGGTGAGTACATTTTAAGCAAATTAAAAAATTTTTGTGAACTATTCCTTTAAGAGATATTTACATGTACATTTTGTATCGATCATAGCAGCAGTTATTCATTAAATGCTTGTCAAATATTGGAGAAGTGCATTATAACTCAGCATATGTTAGTCAGGTGGTGTACTTAAGCACAATTTCAACATTTCAAGAGCTGGGGTGCCTGCATAAATTTGCTACTAAACTGAGGACTAAAATGGTGCAAACAGCATGTGCAAATAAATGATGCAATCAGCTGGAGTAATTCATTACTACTACACAACCTGTTTCCTGTTACAGAGAGAACATAATTTATATGACAATAACAGCACTGCAGTGGATGTATATAGATTATACATTAGGATAGATTATAGTTGTTTTAACTTTTTAAATAGATTGGAGAGTTTTAAGGACAATTCTGCCTTGATTTCTCTGTTTTTATACTTTTAACATCAACTCTGTGATAACTTATAAAACATTTTAAATTCTGAAAAGTTTAATATTGAAGATTATACAGTTAATTTTAATAATAATGTATAATAATAATAATAACAATAATAATCACAATAACTAGTTGCTTCATTAGGCATCATTGTCAAATTGGTTTGAAAATTTGAATTCAGAAACAATCAGATTCAATAAGTATCAAACTATTTCTCCAAAAAAATAAAAGATAGATAGATAGATAGATAGATAGATAGATAGATAGATAGATAGATAGATAGATAGATAGATAGATAGATAGATAGATAGTCCACCATATCAACATCAGACATTTCTTCCAGTATACTGTAAGTGCTAAATGTTTTAACATTATTTTAAAAAGTTTAATTTTCCAATGCTTTGAAGTTCAAGTGTTTTATTGAGGGTTGTAGTTTATTAATCGTTTGGAGTTTAAAGTTTAGTGTATTTATTATTCTGTGAGTGTGGTTTCCATTTGAGTCCCTGTCACCATGTTTATTGTGCAGATCCTAGGAAGATTAGTTTTTCACGTGCTGTCAGATGAGCATATGGGCATGATTTTGTAAGTGTGTGTGTGTGGTGAAGAGATACACAAACTGTGAAAGTGGGTGGAACATACAGGTTCAGAAAAAAATTGAGGAAATGTTTGCTTAGCTCTTAGTTCTTAGGCTTTGTCAAAATGTGCCTGTAAGATTATTTGCTATAAAGGTCCAGCAAGGGCTATGTTGGAGGACCCTTGAATCACATCGTCCTCATTCTGATTTCATGAGCACACATTTCAGGCAGGGATGAATTCAAGTATGCTTGAACATTTTCCAGTGTTGTTGGCTACAACAACATCCTTCCATATTAGTTTTGCACCAACCTAATACTGATTTTTAATAATGGTTAAATATACACACAATGGTAGATAATTGAATGTCATCTCTAGATAGTTGATTGTGCATCTGCACTGAAAAAGATGCACCAAACTTGCAGGTCACACATATGGAAATGTGCATAAATTTGCAATATTTATACACCTAATCAACAGTATCAGGGAAACAGGAAATAACACTTCCTCCAAGCTCTGTGACTTCCAGTTTCAACTTCCAGAGTTTCAAACAGTAACAGAGCAGGTGTTTAGTGTGACACTCATACCACACACAAACTGCAAAGGATGACACCCAGATTAAGTCCATGGATGTGTGAAATGCTTTAAAGTGCGAGCATTGCTCAAGTACAAGAGAGCTAAAGAGAGCAGTCACGCTCTGATGAAGACAGGTAGCTGGCCACTCACTGCCAGCCTAGAGCTTGAGTAAAGAAAACTGCCGTGATTGGCTCATTACATACAATTACACACATGGAAGGTTTTCGGTGTCTTCCAGACCCTCTCACGGCAAATGGTGAACACATTTAATCAAACTAAAACATACTTTCAGAGCTTGTATATGTGTTTAGGCAATGGATAGTAAAGTTAAGAATTACCACCAAAATTACACCACAGTTGATTGAGATGGAGAAAAATTCACAGAGAGGTGGAGGGAGGCAGAGAGAGGGAGAGCGTACCTTTCTCGAAAAGAGAAATGAATAAAACATAACACTGTCCTTGAGGATGGGCCCCATTGCAGTGCTTTCAGTGGCATGTCAAGAAACACAATTACATGCTTGATGAGAGAACCAATGCAATTTAGCGCTTACACTCAGATTACAGCAGAGAACATGAGGTACAGTGGCGGCTGCTAGGGTTCATTTGTATTCCTGCTGTTCTTAATGAAAATGGTGTCATATGCTGCTGGGTCCGAGTCTGACCCTAGTCGACTTAACGGGATGTGCAGCCATTTTAAGTCAGATTCCAAATCACAAGCAGTGAATATGTTAAGTCCGAAGTGATGCAAACAGAAATGCGAATGGAGCAAGGGTACACTCTTAAAAATAAAGGTGCTTCAAAAGGTTCTTCAAGCGATGTCATAGAAGAACCATTCAGTCAAAGGTTGTTTAAAGAACCACCTCTTTATTACCTTTTTATAATCTGAAGAACCTTCTTTTGCCCTAAAGAACCTTTTGTGAAACAGAAAGGTTCTTCAGATGTTAAAGGTTCTTTATGGAACCATTTAGACAAAAAGGTTCTTCTATGGCATCGTGAAGCACCTTTATTTTTAAGAGTGTACTGAAAGGAAGTGAAATTTACCTGCCAGTCACTGTTACACAATTTCAGTACTGAAATGCACTTAACAGGGGCGTTTCCTCCGAGGAGGCAAGGGAGGCAGTGCGTCCTCAAAAATATTAGATGAGAAAAACATGTATCATTAAAAGGTGTATAAATCATCAATCAGTAATTTTTCTAAAGAAACACTGCCCAGCAGCAACACCAGCAGGTAAAGTTGCAGCAGGAGTCCACGTCTCTCTTGCCTCCCCTGAGCCCATTGAGTTTGGTTGGGGGTAATTGAGAATAAATGGGGGGAAGGTCGCGTGAGAGGAGGCAGTGCCGCCGTAGCAATATGATTGGATATGACTGGTTTTGTTTGGCTGTGACTGGTTCATGCGATAAATCCTGCCTCTTGTGTTTGTGCATGTTCACGAATCAGTCTGAATGAATAGTATAATGACGTTATTGGGAAGATTAATAACAACAACAAAAAACACACACACACTTAGATATAACCACTTCGCTATGTCAAAATAAGACTTGAAATGGCCTGAAAACATGATCTGTGGGAGCTTTTAGTCAGTAATCAGCTTGGTGAAATTTAAGGTAAATCTCTGTGACCAATATATATCGAACTTAGATGACTGATGAAAAAAAATAAAAGTTAACTATTAAAAATAAAATCTGAAACATAAGTTCACAAATAAAATATATTGTTTAAATTGTTACTGTGTTCAGTTATTACTTTGGAATAAATGTAAAATGCTTAAAAACACTAATGAGTTTCATACGTGGCATTAATAAATGGAATATTGATTACATTGTTAAAGGTGCAGTAAGCGATTTCTGAGAAACACTGTTGAAAGTGGATCGGACCGAGCACCAAAACACACTTGTAGCCAATCACCAGTAAGGGGCATGTCCAGTAGTGATGGGGGAGGAGCCTGTGTTGAATAGCATGTTCATAAATTTGGGGGCGGAGCTATCAATATAGGGGTGTGATTCTTTTGGGAAGGGGCGTGTTTTCTTTTGGTGATTTCAAATATCAACAGCATTTCTCAGAAATCACTTACTGCACCTTTAATGTAAAAATATAAAATAGATTTTTTTTCTTTTTTTTTCTGATAGTGTAAGTAATGTTTATTGAACCAAGAAAATGTGACTGGGACATGAATTTACATTTGATTAAAAAAAAAAAAAACTGAGGACTTTGCCTCCTCGTTTCAGAACACCACTACACACCACTGGGACTTAATTGTTTTAAAGGTGCTGTATGTAATTTTTGGACTGTACTAAAGCATAAAATATAATATATTTGCAGATATTTAGGAAACACACTTGTTTCTCCGAAAAGCATTGCTATTTCCATGTTAGAATGCCTTGTTTTTGTTTTGGTCTATGTGATTATTTATCTGATGTGATCTATGTGAGATCTACATGTATCTATGTGATTATAACTGACCCACTGTCAGTTTACCCAATAGTATCTCAACACACCAGGTTGCCAGTTGATGGAAAACACAGCGTATTGTAGAAAACAAACTGGGTCAGAGATCGCAGATTCTACCCGACCTAAATAGCCTCAGCATCCATCTAAAAAGCTCTATGAGCAGAGGAATATAAAAAAACCCGGATAAATCAACTGATCAACTTTCAGTATAAGGCTCGTCACCTTCCATTGTCAATTGCATTTGTTCCTTTTGCGTGTACTCAATTTGACAACCCGCATAATCAGTGAGTCTGAGGATAAGGGGGAGGGAGAAATGACGGTCTCCAATATTTTTAATTAGGACTGCAGTACCCATTTCAACTTCTAGCTGTCAATATTACATACTGCACCTTTTAATGAGGTCCTACAATCCCAAAAAGTCCTATTGTGAATGACATAAATTAAAAAATTAAAAAAACTGACAGATAAATATAAAATATGAAACGGTTAGTTTTATAAAAGTAGTTTATGAGCACAGGGAGACTGAGTCTATCACGTAATTCGTAGTGCTTCATGGGAGTGGCACTAAAGAGGCCTTCAGAGATTCTTTGACTGGTGGAGATTCCTGAATGTTTAAAAATTTAAGCGGATAAAAATGTGGACTGACAGATTCAACAAAAAGCATATACCTTTGATAAAGAACCTCGTAACTCACAAATAGATCTGTCTTTAAAAATTGTATAAGTTATTGTTCAAAATAAATTTCCCAGTGGAGAAAATGAGTGGCATTTTAACTTCCAGAACAATTCCAAGAAAGATTACTATAACAATAACTGTATTGCCATCCATACCAACAGGAGAGAATGTTCACTACAGTTAAGTGATTCCAGTGATGTTGTTCCTCT